AACTATATTATCTTTGTACTGTAAATATATAATTATGAAATAGAAATATCATTATAGTTTTCTTTCATATTCAATATTTTATATTAAATTTTTTTATGGTATCAGAGCCATTGTAAGCTCCATTAAGTTTTTTTCTTCAACCTCCATGTATTCCTTAAGTTCAAACAATACAAACTACTTTCGAATAATTCCCTTTAATCCTATATTTCTCTAATCTACAAAATTACTTGATTACTATTAATGCTGTTACCCACCTACCTATGAAACTCATCCCTCTCAACTTTCCTTCTTGGTGGGCTCAATTCAAGTATCCCTTAGTTGGATTGAATATGTTGATAGTTCCACCCTTTACCCTTTAGTCATGATTCCACAAGAAGGTTCCAACCTTCTTTTCTTATTGCTAGTCCAACATATGATCATTGGGTCTGACAAGATCAACTATTGTTTCATTATATTATTTTATATACCTTTGAAAGTGTCGTAATGTTCTTTGCTTCTACTTAATCGATTTTATGCTTGGGCCAAAATCAATAAGTTATATGCTAACAAGTTTAGATCTCAAATAATGAACCTACGAGAAAAGCTTACCAAACCCAAAGGCACCATGACAGTTTCTAAATACTTCTAAAATCTTATAAGTGTTGCTGATGAACTTGCATTGGTGAATTTGCCTATAAGTGAATATGAACTTGTCATCCATACTCTTAATGGAATTGGCTTTAACATCAAGGAAATTGCAACTAGTATAAGAGCTAGGGAATCTTACATTACCTTTAAAGAATTGTTAGATAAGTTCACTAATTATGAAGAAGTTATCAAAAAATAAGAAACATAAACTGATATGATCATTCGTTCTGCCCATTTTGTTGTCAAAATTATTTTTTATTATTTTGGTAGACCAAAGCAACCTCGACTTCCTCAAAATACTAGGTTTTCCTCACCATTTAATTCTTTCAAGAATTGATCTCATTCCAACTTTAAAGTTGTTTGTCAGTTCTGTAATAAAGTCAAACACTTTGCCAAGCATTGCTTCAAAATCAAAAACTTAAGTCTCCTACTCCAACTGCTAATCACACTAGAACAGAAGCATCATCCCTTTAATGGTTAGTTGACTTAGATGCATCTCATCATATCACTAAGAAACAAGAATCATCAATTAATATTATCATCTTTTCTGCCCATCTTGCTACCAAAACTATTTCTTTTCATTCTGATAGATCAAAGCAACCTCAACCTGCTTAAAATACCAGGTTTTTCTCACCATCTAATTCTTTCAAAAATTCATCTCATTCTAACTTCAAGGTTGTATGTTAGTTTTGTGATAAACTCGGACATTTTTTCAAGCATTGCTTTAAAATCAAACTTAAGTCTTCTACTCCAACTGCTAATTATGCTAGAATAGAACATCCTCCTCTTAGTGGTTAGTCAACATAAGTGCATCTCATCATGTTACTAATTCGTTGCACAGCCTACAATTTACATTTTAGTATAGAGGTCTCGATGAACTTTTGATTGGTGATGGCACAAGTTTATCAATTTCTCATATTGGTTCAACTTTAATTCATCATTCTTCTTAGCCCTTTTCTTTACATAATGTTTTATGTGTTCCTCAAGCAAAAACTAATGTCATTTCTATTTCCAAATTCACTAACACTAATAATGTCTGTTGAATTTTTTCCATCTTTTTTCTTGGTGAAGGATTTTCAAACAAAGAGGCCACTTGCTTAAGGCTTAAATAGAGATGAGGTCTATGCATTCCAAGAAACTAAGCCTTTGATTAAACTTTTTACACTTGTCAATTTTAGACTTAAGACAAACGTTTATACATGGCATCAAAGACTAAGTCACCCTTATTCTTAAACTCTGTAGTTAGTTATCAAGACTTCTTCTTTACCTTGCTTTTTAACCAAAAACTTTCATCTTGTTATACTTATTGCTGTAATAAAATTCACAAACTTCCTTTTTATAAATCTAGTTTAGTTTGTATAAGACCTCTAAATAACATATATACTGATGTTTAGGGGTTAGTCAAGGTTTTTAGCATTGAAGGTTACAAAGATTATATTTGGTTTTTTCCATTGAAATTTAAATATGATGTCTATTTTCTATTTCCTAAATTTAAGAGTTTAGTTAAAAATTATTTTAAAACTTCCATTGTTACAATATATTATGATTGTGGGGGTAAATTTACAAAGTTGAAATCTTTCTTCAATTCATTTGGCATGCAACATTTATAAACAACCCTACATACCCCTTAACCAATGCAATTGTTGAATATAGACATACAAATATTGTTAAAACTAGACTTATTTTACTACATCAAGAATCCATGCCATTGTCATATTGGTCTTTTACTATTTCTACTATAGTTTATTTACTAAATAGATTGCCATATCTTGTTATTGGAAACAAATGTCTTTATCAATTACTTTTCAATCAAGATCCTAATAATGCTAAACTCAAAATTTTTAATTGCTTAAGTTATCCACGGCTTAAACCTTATTCCACACATAAACATTAAAGCAAATCTACATCTTGTGTGTTTCTTGGTTACTCTAAGCATCAAAGTGCTTATCTTTGTCTTGACCATCAATCTAACAAAATTTTCACATTAAGACATGTTTTATTTAACAAATCTAAATTTCCATTTGCTACCAAGTTTGCAGCCAACACTTCAGTTTCTGATGTTTCTTACTCTTAATGGCATTCTGCATATGACACACCTATCATTGTTCCAACCTTTCCACCACTTTCTCAAGATGCAACTTTGTCTTCTAAACCCACCTCTCATTCATCTTCGCAAGAGGTTAACATGTGTGACAGTTCTTCCACCAAAGTAATTACCTTTTCACCTCTTCTTCAATCACCTGTTAACCTAACCTTGTAGCCTCTTGTGCCACTTCAATCTCATAGAACACATCCCATGATTACTTGATCACAAAAAAATATTTTTAAACCTAAATAGCTCCATCTAGCAACCGCTCATCCTTTTCTAGAATCCATTACACCAACTTGTGCTATGCAAGTTATCCGATATTTGCATTGGAAGCAAGTTATGCTTGATGAATATGCTGCCCTTACAAACAATGACACATGGGAATTGGTTCCACCTATTAACAACAGAACTATAGTTGGTTGTAAGTGGATTTTCAAAATTAAAAGGCACCTTGATGGTTCCATTTCTCCATACAAAACTAGATTAGTGGCAAAAGGCTTCACCTAAAGGCTTGGTCTTGACTTCAATGAAGCGTTTAGCACCTATAGTCAAACTAGTCACCATATGGTTAGTTTTATGCTTGGCAGTTTTTAACAATTGGCCATTACACCAGTTGGATGTAAATAATGCTTACTTACAAGGCACACTAACAGAAGACATATACATGAAGCAACCCCTAATTTTGTATGACAAAACCAGGCCTCATTTTGTTTGTAAGCTTCGGAAGGCAATCTATGGCCTTAAATAAGCACCTCGAGCATGGTACCGAGCCTTGAGCAGTTTTTTGCTTTCTTCTAACTTCACTCAATCAATACGTGATAAATCTTTATTAATTTATCATTGTAATGGCATCATCGCATATCTATTGGTCTATGTTGATGATTTGATTCTAACAGGAAATCGCAAGACATTTCTCTCCAACTTTTTTCAAAATCTTGCATCACAGTTTTCTATCAAAGATCTTGGTTCCCTAAACTACTTTCTTGGCATTGATGTTGTTCCTACACAATAAGGTCTTTTTCTATCTCAAGATAAATATATTTAAGATATTCTCCTCAAAGCTGGTATGTTTGGTGCAAAAAGCATCAAATACACCAATATATACTAAAACTTGCCTCTACTTACATGATGGTTTTGCAATAGCCAATGATGAGGAATTCAGGAAATTTGTTGGTTCTCTCTAATATCTTGTTTTTACTAGACCTGATATTTGTTTCGTTGTTAACAAATTATCCCAATTCATGCATAAATCATCAGCACTACATTATCAAGCTTTGAAGATATTATTAAGATATCTTAAAGGAACCTTGTTCCATGGTCTTTTCATTAAAAAGGAAATCGCTCCATCTCTACAAGTCTTCATAACTTTTGATTGAGCAGGAAATCCTGATGATAGGACCTTTACTTTTGCCTCATCATGTATCTTGGAAGCACTTCCATTTTTTGGAGTTCTAAGAGACAAAAATAGTAGCTAGGTCTTCTACAGAAGTTGAAGATCAAGTTATTGTAATTGTTGTTTTAAAAGCAACATAGATTCAATCTCTCTTTTATAAACTTTAGATAGTCCTACCTAGTTCTCTCACTGTGTACCGTGATAACATAAATACCATTTACACTTGCAAAAATCCAATCTTTCATACAAAGATGAAGCATTTGCAATTAGATTATTTTTTTTTGTCCAAGATAAAGTGAAACAAGGGCAACTTCGTGTTAACCATATTCCCATAGAACATCAATTAGCAAATGCACTCACTAAAACTGCTACTCAAAGCACGGTTTTAGTTCCTCTTATCCAAGATTGGAATCATTAATGGTGCCATCATCTAGTAGGGGCATATTAAAGTTACAAATAGTATTAACTAAATCACTATAGAGATAAAGCTCACTTAAAAAACGAGAGACAAATATTAAAGATGATATATTTAAATCTACAAATGAGATATGTTTTATCAAAACTTGAATTGTGAAAATTAACTTATCGATTATTATTTTGATAACTATATTATATTTATACTATAAATATATAATTGTGAAATAGAAATACTATGACAGCTTTCTTCATATTCAATGCCCTATATTGAATTTCCTTATCAAATCCCATCAATTGTGAAACGTAATTTAACTTTAACCTAGATTTAATTAAACTTACTTATTTGTAAATTAGTGTTACTTATTAATGGAATCAAGAAAAAACAAGTACGCTACGCATTGAATGATAATTAGTAATATGAAATTTTCTTAATAACTGAGTTCACTTGATTTTCAAAAGATCAAGTAAAACCCCGATCTACCCCTCTTCCCTCTTTGGTTCTTTGCTTTCTCTCCCTGTCCCGAGCCCACAAACCCAAAATCTTGAAGCAGCTAATCGGTTGCGGTGGAAGCCAAAACCACAGCTCCATCTCGGGACCTGGAGCGTTACAACAGTGTTCCTTCAGAAATTTTCATCATAAAAGAGGTAAATGTGCAGATTTTGAGCTACCCATTTAGAGTAATGTTCAGAAGGTCAAAAAACCTTGCATTACATGTCAGAAAAAACCTGCAATCTGTTTCTAAACCCCATTTTTCAGTTTGCTCATCTAAATATTATTCCAAGAGCAATCAATCAGAGTCTGAAAATGAATGGGAGAGATTACTCAAACCATTTGACCTCGATGAACTTCGAAAGTCATTCAATAAGATTACTCCTTATCAGCTTTGTAAATTACTTGAATTGCCACTTGATGTTCCCACATCTTTAAAGTTGTTTCATTGGGCTGGTTCCCAGAAAGGCTACTGCCATACATTTGATGTGTATTATGTTCTTATGGATAAACTTGGGGCAGCTAAGGAATTTAAGGTCATAGATAGCTTATTGATGCAAATGAAAGAAGTAGGGGTTGTTTTTAAAGAATCCCTTTTCATTTTGATCATGAAATATTATGGAACAGCTGGTTTCCCTGGTCAGGCTACTAGGTTGTTGTTGGATATAAAGAGTGTTTATTCTTGTGAACCAACTGTTAGGTCTTACAATGTTGTCTTGGATATTCTGGTGGCCGGCAATTGCCATAAAGTTGCACCGAATGTTTTCTATGACATGTTAAATAAAGGTATTTCTCCCAATGTTTATACATTTGGTTTGGTTATGAAAGCACTTTGTATTGTTAATGAAGTGGATTCTGCTTGCTCGCTGCTTAGGGATATGACGAAACATGGATGTGTGCCAAATTCAGTGGTTTACAATACTTTGATACATGCATTGTCAAAAAGCAACAGGGTTAATGAGGCACTGAAACTTTTGGAGGAAATGTTTCTGATGGGTTGCAGTCCTGATGTTCAGACTTTTAATGATGTTATCCATGGCCTCTGCAAGCTCAACCGTATTCATGAGGCAGTAAAAGTGGTTGATCGGATGCTTCTCCGGGGCTTCATCCCTGATGAACTGACTTATGGGTTCTTAATGCAAGGGTTATGCAAAACAGGCCAAGTTGATGAAGCAAGGGCATTATTAGACAAAGTGCCCAGCCCAAACATTGTTCTCTTCAATACCTTGATAAATGGATATGTGGCAAGCGGACGGTTTGATGAAGCTAAGGCTGTTGTGCATGATATCATGTTAAGTTTTGGCTGCAGGCCTGATGTTTTTACATTTAACATTCTCATTCATGGACTTTGCAAGAAAGGATGCCTAGGTTCAGCTCTTGAATTGGTTAATGAGATGGAAGGCAAGGGATCCAAGCCCAATGTGATAACGTACTCAATTTTGATTGATGGGTTATGCAAGGAAGGTCGACTATTGGAAGCTGGTGATGTGTTAAATGAAATGTCTGCAAAAGAAGTCAGCCTGAATACTGTGGGATATAATACCCTGATAAGTGCATTATGCAGGGATGGGAAGATTCATGAAGCTCGGGAAATGCTTGGTGAAATGTCAAGCAAAGGATGTAAGCCTGATATATTTACCTTTAATTCACTAATATTTGGTTTATGCAAGGCCGATCAAATGGAAGCGGCTATGGGACTGTATCGTGATATGTTGGTTGTGGGTGTTATTGCCAACAAAGTAACATACAACACGCTAATTCATGCTTTTCTGAGGAGTGGTGAGATCCAAGAAGCACTTAAGCTTGTAAATGAAATGCTATTTAGAGGATGCCCTCTTGATGCAATCACTTACAATGGTCTGATAAAGGCACTTTGCAAAGCTGGGGCAATTGATAAAGGCTTGGGATTGTTTGAAGAAATGATAAGGAACGGACTGGTTCCAAGTAGCATTTCTTGTAATATATTAATCAATGGCCTTTGTAAGGCCGGGAAGGTACATAATGCACTTGAGTTTCTAAGAGAAATGATTCATCGAGGTTTGACGCCAGATATAGTAACTTATAACAGTCTAATAAATGGTCTTTGCAAAGCTGGACGCATAAGGGAGGCTTTGAGTCTGTTTGAGAAATTAAAATTTGAAGGTATTTATCCTGATGCTATTACTTATAATACTTTGATTAGTTGGCACTGCAAAGAGGGTGTGTTTGATGAGGCCTGTTTACTTCTATATAGAGGTGTGGAGAATGGCTTTGTACCCAATGATGTGACTTGGTTTATTTTGGTCAGCAACTGTGTCAAAGAAGGTCAAAAGGAGAGCTTTTCTTCTCCATTTAATATGTAGAAAGAAATTTATGCTGTCGAAAGACGGTGTCTTGTTTTGGCCTCGAGCTTGTTAAAGAAAGAGAAAGAGTTGGCCTTCAAGTTGGTTCAGCCAATGTCCAGATTTCTTTCTTCCTTTTTGGATAAATGGGCATATGCTATTTCCTGATGGCTCTTATGGGTTTTAAGTTGTCACTGCAATTGGTTACAAAAGGAATGCTCTGAAAGATATCAAGTTGGGATATGTTGAAGCCTTGCAGTTTGTTATGAAGGTAACTTCTAACTAATCTCTGGTGCACTGAATTGGGCTCTCCTTAGCTTGATGTTGTTTTAACTATTTAAATTACTTTTGATGAACCTTCAAATCTGTTGACTGAGTTGGTCTGTTTTGGGATAGGGTGACTGCCACATTTCAGAAAGGTGTGCCTTCATGGTATATTTCAAGCCTTCAATTGTTTCATGCTGTCATTTTGCTTTTTCAAAACCCATTAGAATTTGAAGGATCTTTTATCTTGCAAATGTTGAATACATTTCATAAATTAAATGATATTTTTTTGACTATTTTAAGAATATTCTGAGATGCAAGCTAGTTGATTGCATTGAACTGATTGAGTCAAAATTGAAGACCTTGTACCTGAAATGGCTATTAGGTGGCATGTCAGTCAAGTTTACCTTGAAGAATTGTTTTTATAAAGCTTTCCTGTATGGTAATATTATTTGTGCCGGCTTAAATAGATATGTCATTAAACCTAGATTTACACCACAGGGAATCATTGGTTTGGTTGCAGAAGCGTTGTTGTCTTTTTTATTTCTTGGTTCGTTGTTTCATTAAATGTAGCTCCTGATCAACTAGTGACCTTGCAAAATCTTTGTTGATTTCTAATCTCAATGTTGTTCCTATGTTACTGAAAGTTCCATCTCCACTTTTATGAACAGAAAGGGATCTCGACTGGGATATGCCATTACACGTATTGCTCTTAAGTTGATGGCATACTCAAAGATGGGGTTTATGGGATGTGTATAATGACTTTGGAATGGAAGTATGTGCGGAAACATATTTTGACCAACACGCCTTTACACTAGAAGAGCTAGTGTCTCTTTGCAGTATGTATGTTATAATGTTTTCTAGTGTCTTATGCATTTTCTAAAGTAGAGCTAATCGCTTGCTGTTTGGTTGACTTGTATGTTTCTCCTTATACAAAAGTTTTGATCACATCTCATTGGTAAGTTGCTCCTTTAACTGTCTTTGCACCCTACATTTAGATATTTTGAAATGCTTGGTTATCTTTTCGTTTGTACTTTTCATTTATGTTGTTTCTTATTTTTTTACCCTCTCGGTGCTACTATTCTTAGAATTAACGTTATACTTTTCAGAAAATTTTGCATGTTAAGATTCTCTCATATGCTATACCTTTTTCCCTTGGCAGGATCCGTGTGCCATTCAGTGCTCTGAGCTTGGAAATGCTGCTCAAGGCAATAGTATCCTGGCTTGGGAAATTGTTCCAATGCAATTTTGGTTTCATGCTAAAATTAGGGAAAACTCGATATGTTAAGGTATAGTCAACAGAAGTTCACAAATCTGTACATGCAGGTTGAAGTTTCTCGAGGAAAAGGGAAGCCATTCACAGTTTCCTTGGTTGTGTTTTAGCATTTTGTTGTCCTTGACTAAGTATCTTTTTTTTTTTTGTTTTTTTGAAAGATTCCTTGACTAAATATCTATCATGTGGAAGGTTCAGCATTTTGACGATAAGATGTTTTTGTGATCCATTCCCTGTTGAAAATAATGATAACAGAAGAAGAAAATATGTTTGTCCCTTTACGTCGGTAAAGTTGGGTCCAACACCAACAGTGCTGTTAAAATAATGGAAAGACTAGTGGATGCATTGGCTTCATTGTTTTTAGCATTTCATCTGGTTGGTGGTGCATAATGTTTATTTTCATTCCCTTGTAGACATCCTTTTTAATCCACTCCTTTGCTTTCTCTATTACAAGTTAGAAACTAGTTCCATCCAAGTAATTCTCTACTGCACCATGAAAAATATAACACTGTAATTTCTCTACTGGTTAAGTTTGACTAGGATATAAGGCCCATCATTTTTATGGATATCAATATTTTTTGGATATAACTGTCCAACAGCTGGTTTAATTCCCAGAAATACCAAATCTCCCGGCTTAGTTAGTCTATGGTAGTGGTCTTATTACATGCTTTAGTGCTAATCTTCCTTTCTCATTTCATTTCGATATTTTGTAGTTTGATCCTGCAAAATTGAGGAAGCTAGATCGAGCTTTAAGGAAGATAGGGCAAGCTGTTACTGCTGGCAATGCCTCAAGCATTAACTCCTCTCTCAACCCCTTCTCCACCCCACAAAAAATTAAAAAAAAAGGAATGAAAAACCATTAATCCTAATTTCTTGCTCTTAATGAATTCAGGTACTTGCGGTCACAGGAAATTGATTGCTGTTGCATTCTACTCTTATATTGTTTGAAAATAGAAATTATTCAAGGAGCACTTTACAGCATGAAAATCTTGTTAGCTAGGCACCGCATTTTCTATAACAATTGAATGCATGGCTATGCTTTGAGTATGAGGTATATCTTCCCACTTGTAGAAATGAAATATAAATTTTTCCATGATAAAGGCTTTGTTGCATATTGCCTTAAAGTATGGTGATGAAGGGCATTGCCTATTATTTATAGGTTGGTTTGTTATCTTCAGCATTGATGGTGCTATTGTGGTAGAAGGCAATTAATCTTGGTTTGCAACTAGTTGGTGAAAGAGCAGAGGATATGCTGATGCTGCTTAGGGTACCACTGAATAATGTTGTTGGTATTTGTCTTGGTCTTGGCTTATTTTTAAATAACTACAATTAATGGAGCTTTTTCTTGGCATACTGTCTATCAAATTGGTTAAATTCTTACTAATTTTCTATTGTGTATTTTGACAACCAATAGCAATGGCAACCCTAGAAAAATGCTTTTTCTTAGGAGTGGCATTCAATCCAATTGGTTGATTCGCTTTGAAATTTTTGACAATCCAATTAATTAATAGAACGAAAATAATTGAATCCATCGATTTATAAATAATATAAAAACCTAATTAATAGAATGAAATGATAGTATAAATAATACAAATACCTAATTCAATTTTATCAAACTTTACCAAATTGTTCACAATGTCAATTGGATCGACATATAAAGATTCACATAGCTAATTTTGAATACAAATAAGCGTTTATACAAACATAAGAGTTAAGGATTTTTATATGTATCAAGCATAGGTCTATTGATGCTTAAAGTGGATTTATAAGCAATGGTGGATATGAGAATCAATGCATCATGAGTTAGTTCAGAAAGGATAAAATATTTATGACTACTGAGTTTTTATCAAACAAAAACATCAAAATCGTAATCATCAGCAACATCATGATCACTTAAACGCTTATTCAATTTTGTTTTTTATTTTTTTATGCCAATTTCAATCCTACACTTCTTATACTCAAAGAAAACAACTTTAGTTTAGGGTGTATTTGTTTTGAAGTAACATTTTTTCGAAAAACATTTTTAGGATATTATGATGTTTTATTCATTGAAAATGAAATCTTAAAGGAAAAAGTTTTACGAGTTAATGGATAAAAGACCCATTTGACTTCGGAAATTGTCTTACGCCCTTCAAAGATGTAAGACAATTTTCACCATGGTAAAAAAAAATGACTTCTATTAAAATAAACCTCGGCCCTAATTTCTAAATCTTGGCTTTGTCATCCCTAGCCTTTGACATGATCTGAATATTTATTTTCTATTTCTTTCAAAATAATAAGGTCTTAAAATAATATCTTTTTATTTCTTTCAAAACAATAAGATACTTACACATTTGAGGCAAATATTTTTTGAAAGATGATCCAAACAACGGAATATATTTTCGACAGTTTATCCAAATAAAAAAAATATTAAATTTTTCAATAAAATATTTTACATAAAAAAAATTTTCCATTAACAACTTATTTTACAGTTACCAAATGGACCCTTAGTTTGTTTTCCAATTCCAATTTCATTAGTGATATTTGTAATTTGGCTCACTTGACTTCCTTCACCAACTTCCTCATATTGGGGTTGAAACATTCTTCTATATTCATAATTATTCCAATGTTTTCTTTTAGGTTCTTAATCATCAACGAAGCATGCTCAAGAATATACAATTTCATAAAGCAAAACTCCACAAAATCAAAGGTTTCTTTTTACGATCAAGAGTAGAAGTAATGTAAATCACCGCAATTATTTTTTATATTTTCCTATAGTTGTTAAATTTATCCTTCAATTTCTTTACCATTGCACTCAACTCAAAATTAAGATTTTTTTTTTTCAATCTCTCAAAGTAAGAAAAGTGTTTCGAACACTGAAAAATCTATATATACTATTTCTTGGGGGGATTTAGTTCGGAAATGAGGTAGAGTAGAAGGGATTTTGGAGAAGAAAATATAAAAAAAAAATTAATATATATAATATCGATAAATAGTTTGTGCGATCAATTCAGTATTAAATTTTAGAGACTAAAATTCAATTGAATAAGATTGAAAAAACTGAAATTTTTAAGTCATCCGTTCGATTTGTTATTTCATTTTCAGCCAAATTGTGCTTAGCCTACTTTGTCTCTCACGAAATTTTTCCTTCTAGTGTTTCCTCTCTTTTACAAACGTCAATGAGCTCATCGAACTTCATGCCATCAATTCATTGCTAGAGGTGTCTTTCATAACCACTTTAAAAATTAAAAATGCAGTTTCTTGGTCAAACTAGAAATCTTTTTTGCATATTGAGGAGAATTATTTGTTAGGATTTGGGTTGAAAGATGATGTAAAGTGATCTTGGTTATAGACAATAAAATCGTTGCACAAGTTATTCAAATGAAAACTAATGAATGAAAATGTTAATTTAGATTTGACTTTAGCCATTAAAGATTTTTTGAAAAAAGAAATGACTAGTTAATATCATTCATATTTGTCACCGGTTTTCTTACGAATATAACTTTTTTATATCCTGTTGATACGATGCTTCTCAGATCCTGCAATCTTCAATTTTATAAAGAGATGTTATGAAAATTTCATCTTCATGCGTTATTTTAATATCAATGTATTATTTTTATTTTGTAACTGATGTGGCGACTATACTATATTGTTTTTCTTTTGGTTTTAATAGCAACAATTTTGGGTGGAACTGGTTCTAAATGGTGATCGCATGTAAGTTTTCATCAACGGAACTGGTTCCTTGGTATTTTAGGCATAAAACTAAGTCAAAAATGGCTTTACATATTGTATTGTCACGATGACTTTTTCTTTCTTTTTTATTATTATTTTTTGAAAGACAAACCAAAGATTAAAGTCTACTTGTATGTGGATTCATTCTGGGTTTAACTTTTCAAACTAATTGACTTTTCTTTTTTTCTTTTCAAATTACTTACGCTCGGTTTAAGCAAGATTAGTTTTTTCTATTTGTTTATAATTTGACTCTATGTTGCTTAAATGTTGCTATGATATTAAGGTAAATAAAAAATGTTAAAATCTTGGTATTTGATCCAAAATTATACACATTGAACAAAAGTCGAATTATTTAGATTCTATTTAGTTGTTATTTATTTTTTTGTAAATTGTTAGGAAATAAATCACTTGGTAAAGGTCAAAATCATATTAAAAGCGAACAAGTAATATTAATTTTTTTTTAAATTTCAATAAAAGGGTCTCATTTAGATATTTTACTTTAAATCTGTTATTGAGCCGTCATTGATAAAAATTAAAGATACCTTATATGTATTTATTATGAACAATATGCTAAGTGAGTTGAATGAAAGTTCTGACTATGGTTACTGTCAATGTCATAGTAGCAGCCAACTCGGAATCTGGCTCTGCTTTTGTTCAATTAGTCAGAAAACGCAAAAGCCATTTCGCACTATGGAAAATCATAGTATTGACTTTGAAATATATATTGGTTTGGCTTCTTTCTGTGACGCTTGGTCAATTGCAGGCTAATGGTGGACATGCAAATTGACTTTATTAGTCGATCGTTGGGGAAGAAGGAAACTGCTGAAGCTTAGGCAGGATGCCTATTCTTTGTCAGGCAGCAGAATAAGGAAGCTGTCTTGTACTTGGCATGGGATAAGGCATAAGTTGGAGAAGGTAAAGTGGCATCTCCCTAGGCAGGCATGCCGTCAGAGCTTGGACGGTCATCCTTGATAAGCTTTGCACAAGACAAAGGGAGGATCCAATGTGAACACAAACTGTGTTTTCTGTGACAAGAAAATAGAGACCACTTACTCTTGGACATGGAATTTCACTAAGACTGGATTGGAAGGCATTGAAAGGCAAGTCCTAGATTGGACCACTGATTTGCGATGGATTCAATAGAGACTAAATGTGGAAGCTTTAATTGCACTTGTGTTGAGGCTACCTTGATGTGTTTCTCTATATTTTAAATGCCAAGTAACATAAAACTTCATTATATTTTTAACATAATATCTAAAAGAGTTTTTAAATTATTTCAAAAAATTCAAATAAATCTTTATATTTTTGTTATGTTTTCTCAAGTTCTTATATTATTATTTTGAACTAGATAAACCTTTATATTTTTATTTTGAATTAAATAAATCATTATAATTAATTGACTTAATTAAAATTTTATTTTTCATTTTATACAACGTGACACTGATATAGCATGTTAATTATCGTAATTGATGATGATGTGTCATACTGACATTTTATAATTGATGATGATGAAACATGGTAATGTGATATTTTTTACTTTTCACATCAATGTCATGTGGATATAAAATGATAAGTCATGTTTTGACTAATGAAAATTAATCCATTATTAATTATAAGATTTTGTTTAATCCAAAATAAAAATATAAAAACTTAATTCAACATTATAAAATAAATAATTATAATAATTTAAGGACTTCTTCCTACTTCATTTTCACGATTCCCTTACTTGTAAGCCAATCCAAAGTTAGAAATGTGATTTTGATATTAAATAAGTATTAGAAATAGTATATACTCAACTAAAACATGCACTTGATTCAATGGCATGATTATTAATATAAAGATAAAAAAGTCAAAGGTTTAAATTCCACCATGTGCAAAGACTTTTTGAAAGATCAAATAATAAAATTAATGCTTAAACTGATTTAATCTAAATCAACCAACCGAATGTGTGATCCGTTCCTTAACCATTCAATATACACCCGATTCAAATTATCTTATTAGGGTTTTCTTAATAGTTTTATTTAGATAGTTAACTATATACAATAAGTACATTTTAGCTGAAATCTATTTATATATTTTTTGAATTTAGGTTTTATGTTCAAGTTTCACCATGCGTGGGTGTAGTCAAATTTGATGTTCGTTTTATTTCATTTATTTGTTTGATAGATATGATTATGAATTCTCTTTGTGGATGCACTTGTTAATGTGTATATTGAAAGTTAATAGATTATAATTTTTACATATAGTATGTAACCTCACTAAAAGTATATTTTGAACGTATTTTGTTATTCGGATAATTTATTGTAAGCAATAAAATTATCAATTTACATGCATATAATGACACAAAAGTCGCTTAAAATATATATTTGAAATATAATCAACCAAATTTTATTGTTTAAATAATTTTCTGCACAACACAAAACAAAATTCAAATTCAAAATAAAATTGAAGTGACTTAGAATATTTTTTTTCTAAAATATATTATTTAGAATTTTTAAAAACAGGGTGATTAAATCATTATAAAATAAATCTATTATCAAACCCTCATAGCATAAGACAAAGAAGTTTTCTTTGAATTCTCT